TGGTTACGTAACATCTAAAAATCAATGTGTACTTTTACATCATAGTCTTATCCATATCAAATCATCTCACACAAAATAGCCTAGTTTTTTCAAATTTCTATTGAGTGCATATCAACATTTCATGTTATCCGGAGGAGGAATTTGAAACTCAAGAGAGGTAAAGAATCTTGCCTCAAAACCTCCAGCTGATAAGAAGTGTTAAGAATTAAAATTAAATTTCCTGACCCAATTTGAGATTGTTTCCCTTTTGTGGAAATTTGGAAGTCAGCTTAGATCAGAGATGGAAAATAAAATGGTTAAGTAGACCTTTCCACCTCTTTCTACATTCTCAACAGGCATCATTCCTAGATCAAGGAGTTTTGTTTCTGTGGAAAAAGAAAACCCTCGAATTTTTCTTACAACATCATCCTAGCCTGGAATTGGGTGCTACCGACACAGGGATCTCTCACCTGAACAATCCCCAAAGACCTCTCTAGGTCTGGGATTCCAAAATCAGGGTTGTTGCAGCAGCCAGGAGACTTAAGAATGTGGATGATTTCCAAGACTGCTTCTTCCAGCTATGTCCCCTGGGAAAGTCAGGTTTTCCAGAACATGCTTCGGCTCCTCCTAACAATTTCCATACAGACAGGGCAACTGAGCGGTTCAGAGAGCAGGCACTGCTGATAGTCAAGCTTGTGTGTTTCAATCTTTGTAAAAGTATGCAAAACTCAGCATAATAGGCACTCAACAAATAGTAGTTCAAACCAAACATTATTTATGTTTATGTTTATATTTATTTACAGTTGTTGATTGCCTTTGAGTCAAGTATGATTCACAGCGACTCTATGAAAAGGCCTGAAGCCTTTCTATAACTATGGATATTTACCAAAGTTTATAGAGTTTTCTGAAGGCATGCTGTTTAAACATAAACATAAACATAAACATAAACATAAACATAAATATATATATTGTTGTTGTTGTTATGTGCCGTTGAGTTGCCTGCAACTCATAACAACCCTATGTACAAGAGCCCTAAATCCTGCTCTATCCTGTGTCAATCTTAATGTCTCTGACACACCTACCCCTATTACCCCAGACACTGACTCAATCCATCTCATTGAGGGTCTTCCTCTTTTGCACTGTCCCTCCACCCTGTCAAGCATGCCGTCCCTCTCCAAGGTCTGGTCCCTACTTGCAACATGTCCAAATTATGTCAGAGGAAGCTTCAGAATCCTTGCCTCCTAGGAGCAGCCTGGTTTAACCCTCTCTAGGATAAACTTGTTTGTTCTCCTAGCAATCCATTGTATATTCAGTACTCTTCTCCAGCACCACAGCGCAAAGGCATCAATTTTCTATCATCCCTAGTCATTGTTCAGCTCTCTGATGCATAGCAAGTGATTGCAAAGACCATGGCCTGGATCAGGCTCAACTTAGTCTCCAGACTGACATCATTGCTCTTCAGTACTTTGGAATAGTCTCTGACAGCAGTTCTTCCCAATGCAATTCATACACACACACACACACACACACACACATGAAAAGCTGGGAGTCCTCCCCATTCTCTTGCCAACTCTAATCTTTAACTTGTTTTGACTCCTTTTACCTTTTCTTCTGCTCTCTGCATCCCTCCTGTTTTCCACTCACAGAAAATACCATATGCCCCAGCTCTCCTGGAGTTGGGTTTCAGCGACATCTGTCAGCACCATGCTGTGCCTTGCCAATGCCTGGCTCCCATGTCATAGGACTCAGAACCCTCATCCTCTTCCCTCCAAGTCACTGGTTCCAATTCATAGTGACGCTGGGAGACAGAATGGAATGCCTCAGAGGGTTTTCAAGGCTGTAAATCTATACAAAAGCAGGCTGCCTCATCCTCCCATGGAGTGACTGGTAGGTTTAAACCAACTTTATATTAGCAGTGAGATGCTTTAACCATAGTGCCACCGGGACGTCTTATCTTTTGCAATTGCACACTTACTATGTGCTAAGTATGTTACATGTTTGAGCTCATTAACTTCTAAAGCAGCCTCGTGAGGCACATATTATTATCTCTTATTTGGGCATGATGACACAGGCTCAGAGAGGTGCACTAGCTTGCCTAAGGCCACACAGCTTCGCTGATGTTGTTGTTGTTATGTGCCATCAAGTCACCTGCGACTCACCGCACAATAGTTCTGAACCCTGTCCTATCCTGAGCCAATCTCACTGTCTCTGACACACCTGCCCCCTAATGCCCAAGTCCCTAGTCACTGTGTCAGTCCATCTCATCCAGGGTCTTCCTCTCCTGCATTGTTCTCCACTCTTCCAAGCATGATGTCTTCCTCCAAGGACTGTCCCTCCTGGCCACATGCCCAAAGCATGTGAGATGGAGCTTCAAAATCCTTGCCTCCTGACAGCAGCTTGTTTAAACTGTCTCCAGAATGGACCTATTTGTTTTCTTGGTAGTCCATGATACCTCCAACACTCACACACAAAGACCCAAATTTCCAAATTTCTATGAGTGCAGTATCAACATCTCATGTTATCCAGAGGAGGGATTTGAAACTCAACAGAGGTGAAGAATCTTGTCCCAAGACCCTTGGCCAAGGCTGCTCTGAACACAGACTCAAATCCGCTCATAGGCAAAGCTCCCTCCAGCTGCTTCCTTGCCATGCCCAGGACAAACTACATGCCCATGAGTTACAGTTTCCAAGTAAGAAGCACTAGGGGTGCTTAGCTGTATGATAGAATTAATGAGGGGGTGAACTTTGATACCGGCAACAACAGAGTGCAATTCCAGAAAAGCCCATTAAAACCCAAATCCAGTAGCTGCGCTATAATCCTGAAGGCATGTGGTTTGAATCCACCAGATGCTCCACTGAAGGAGGGGCAATCTCTTCTTGTCCGTTGGATCAGATTCAATGGCACACAACAAGTAGAGCCCCCGCCCCCAAACAAAAAACCAAATCCGCAAGACTATGGTCAAGTTTCTTCTCAACCAAGTAGTCTTACATCTGGAAAACGGCACTTCCGTTACACCTCCTGCGGTTACGGGATGGGTCACCTAAGACTCACGCCTGGCACAGCTCTCAGCAGACAGCAGGTGGCCAAGGGAGCGTCTGTGAGAATCCGCCTGGCACACAGTCAGTGCTGCATTACTACTTGCTGGCAATCCAGATATCAGTGCAGCCAGAACACAGTGGTGCTAAAAGAGTATCTGAGACGTGAATGAAAGGAAGGCACAGGGCAAGCCTGTGTGACTTAAATGTAGATAATAATGTACCTAAGGAATATGAGGCATTCAGTAAATATCAACAGGCTGGGATCGGGGAAGGGAACTGAGGCCACACTGCCTGTCTTGGGATTCCATGTTTTAAAACATCTGTTAATTTATCCTTTGAATTGCAGTGCTGGGGAAGAGGACTGGACAAACCATGAATAAACAAATCTGTCCTGAAAGAAGTGCAGGTACGGGGCTCCTTTGAGGGAAGAATGGTTGAAACTGCTTTACTTTGGGCATATTTTCAAGAACCAGTTCCTGAAGAGAGATATCATGATAAGGAAGATAAGATAAAGAGGGTCCGTGAAAGAGAGAAAGACCCTCCACAAACTGGAATGACAGTGACTAAAATAATGGGCCCAAGCATGACAAAGATTGCTGTTATGCAGAACAGGGCAAGGTTCAGTTATGCTGTTCACAGCATGCTTTGAGTAGCAGCCAACTCAACTGCATCCAACAACAACAACAACAACAACAACAACTTTAACTTACAGTTTTTGCAAGCTATCATTTGTTGCAGAGTTCTGGTGATACCATGTGTAACATGTCAGTAAGGATAGATGGTGATTTGAATCCACCAGGCACTCTGCAGAAGAAAGACTGGTTTGCTCCCATAAAGACCACCAGCCTCGATAACGCCTCGATAACAGAGGGTCTTAAAATAAAATCAGACTTCTCAAAAAGTTGGAAATAAAAATACCATTTGACCCAGCAATTGCACTACTGGGAATATACCCTAAAGAAGCCAGAACTGCCACCTAAACATATATATGCACACCTATGTTTATTGCTGCATTGTTCACACTATCAAAAGAGTTGGAAACAACCCAAGTGTCCATCAACAAATGAATGGATAGAGAAGTTGTGATACATTCACACAGTGGAATACTATGCAGCACTGAAAAACAAGAAATGAATAAAATATTCTACAAAATGGGTGACCCTGGAGGACATTATGTTGAGTGAATTATCTCAAAAAAGGACAAATACTGCAAAATGCCACAGTTATAAAACAGGACTGACATGAGGGTTGTGGGGAAACTAAGAAAAGAGAGGATAAATAATGACACTGCATTAAAACAGATGAGGGACAGAATTGTTTAAAAAGAATAGATGATTAGGCATTATTTGCATGACAACAATCCAGAATACGAGCTGCATAGCAAAGCAGACTTGAGAGGGGCGGTGAGGAAATTGTGTGACAGCAAAATAATTTTTTTAAAGAGAAAAGTGAACTCGGGGGCGGGGGGGTAGGGAGGAAAATATGCAACAATGAAGGAATGGAAATCCAAGTTTTCTGAAACATTCCTTAAAATCTCAATGTACAAAAAAAAAACAAAACGTTCAGACACCTAAGACACAGCAAGTATTCAAGAAATGTCCTGAACTGAATATTGCTCTTACACCTGGCTGTATAGAAGAGGTGTTCACAATGTCTGAGAAAGTACTCAGCACATAGTAGGTGTTCAAGGACACTCTGTGGTGAGCTTAATGGAGAGGAGGTTCCAGGTACTTTGGTACGTGATTGATAATTGCTGTTCAACAGATGCAAGTGATGTGTCCCGACATACTGTGGAAGAATTGTCAGTAGGATGTGATTGGGAGGAAGGCCCCAAGCATACAGCAGGTCTCAATAAATGGCCTGGGTGAGCTGGGTGGAACACAGAAGGTGCTCATGAAGGGGAATGCCCTGTGTCCATCCCACAGGGACCTCCCAGGTCAGGCAAGCCTCTTGAACTCTGCTCTCCCCTCTGCCCCTTTTCACCTTTGTTGTAGAGGGAGCCATCGAAGTAGTAGCTGCCAGTGTAGAAGCCGGTGGCCAGCTCGATGAGGTGGCGGGCCCAGGTGTTGCCGGCCCCTGGGAAGCTGGCCAGCGCAATGAGCTGCTTCGACTTGGCCGGGAGGAACCTTCTGTCCATGCAGCGGTTATCTGCAAAACATAAGACACAGGCAGGGTCAGCGGCAGATGAAGCTGGTCCAACCTACCACTGCAGTGTGGCGTCTGACATAGGTGTGTGTTGAAAATCCCCTCCAGGCCTCAATCTTTCCATCTGTAAAATGAGTCACTGGTTTTTTACAGGAATACTGTTAGACCTGAATGAGATCTAATATATGAAAAAACACAGTGATTAGCACACGGCTCTGTGCTGCAGCCAGCCAGTAACACAATGAATGAGATGCCATTTGCATGACTGGTTTCAAATTGGACCATGCAATCCACAGGGGTTTCACGGACTGGTTTTCAGAAGAGGATTGCCAGCTCTTTCTTCCTAATCCATCTGAGTCAGGACACTCTACGGAAACCTGTTTAGCATCACAGCAGCACGTCCACGGGTATCACAGTGGACAGATGGCTACGGTGGTGCACAAGGTGGACTTGCCAAGAATCAAACCTAGGTCTCCAGCCTGAAAGGTACGACTTCTACCACTGAACCAGTCGGGCTTCAATAAAGGCCAGCTAGAATGAAGACTTCTCTCCAGCCTCAGTTTTCCCCTGGACAGAGTCTGGTCACATCACTTATATCCTTTCCTCCCGTAGAAAACTTCCAACAGCTCCTGCTGACGCTGGATCACCCGAGGTTCCTACCCTGCCTCCTGGCCTGGCCCTGTGGGGCTGGGCCCTGCCTGCTTCCAGGCCCACCCGCCCAGACCCGCCAGCTACCCTGGTCTCCCTTCATTTCTCCTTTGTTCCTTCCAGATACAGCATCTTTACACAGGCTGCTCCTCCAGCTCTGACTTCTACCTGCATTTGCTTGATAGAAAATGCCTTAGTCTTTAGCTCTCTGATGGACTGGTCCTTCCCTCTTCCCTGACTCCATGAGCTGGGTAAGGCAGCCTCTCACTGGCGCACAATGTCTACCTCGTTCATCTCACTTATCATTTTAATGCAAAGAAGTACTTGTGCAGTCAGTTGATTAAACAAAAACCTTGCCCCCAGACCTCTTCACTGATCCTCTGAACTTTCCATACTATCTAGCCCACAGCAGGCACCCATTAATGTTTCTTGAACGGGCAAATGAGCACAGTGGATGGACAGCGAATGGATGGAGAGATGGTTGTACGTATGAGTGGGCAGGTGGGGTGGATGGATGGGTGAGTGTACATATGGGTGAGTGTATATGAGTGGATGATAATATACTTACTCTGAAATAGCACACTGTTGTTATGTGCCATCAAATCACTTATAATTCACAGTGACCCTATGTAAGCTCTGAAGCCCACCCTATCCCGAGTCAATCTCACTAACTCTGACACACCCACCCTTATCACTGCAGTTACTGTATCAATCCATCTCACCCAGGGTCGTCTTCTGTGCCGTCCCTCCACCCTTCTGAGCATGATGTCCTTCTCCAAGGACCAGTCCCTCCTGACCTCACACTCCCAAAGTATGTGAACTGAATATTGCTATTATACTTGACTGTATACAACAGGTGCTCACAATAGGTGTCTATGTGAAAGTACTCAGCACAGAGGCGGTCTTCAAGGACTGTTTGTGGTAAGCTTCCTGGAGAGGAGGTGCCAGGTACACTGGTAGGTACTTGTAAGTCTACTGCTGAACACTAAAGTTGCTCTTAAGAGGTGGTTACATTTTCAAGTCCTTTATTTCATTATAAAATGGTTTTGATGGAGCTCTGGTGGCCTAGTGGCAAGAAGCTGAGCTGCAATCCTGAAGGCACGCAGTTTGAATCCACCAGATGCCCTGCTGGAGGATGGGCCATCTCCTCCTGTGTCAGTTGGATTTGATTCAACGACACAGAACAAGAAAAACAAGTTTTGCTATCTGGTCTTCTTGATTCTCTTTAGGTCCCTCGGATGCTACTCCAGTCAGAGTCTCAGCAGCCCGACTACGAGTCCTACTGGAGTGGAGAACGCATATGGATGATTTCTTCTGGTACCCACAGCTTTCGCAAGCAGGAAGCTGAGGAAAGGCCCAGTATAGTACACTCTGAATTGGAGAAGAGGACTGAATCCTGGATCCCAGCCCCATAGGCTCCCAGCCCCAGGCCTGCCCGCTTCATGTTGAACAGACGACCCCACGTCTCACTCATTTACCGTGAAAGTCAAGACAGGCAGCCCCCTTCACCTCGGCTGGCTATCCCTGGTCCTTGAGCTCACAGACTTCCAATGCGTCCTCTATATTCTCTTCTTCTCCCTACTCTGCTCCTGAGGCTGGACCCGCATTCCCTCTCCCCAACCACCCAGCTCCACACACTCTATCTTTTCCTCTCTGCTGGCTCTGTCATGAACACGTGTAAACAAATGGCTTCATCATTTAAAGGAAACCTCACTCCCCGACCCGCCAGTGACCACTGGTTCCTAGTCATGTTTCTGGGAACTCAGGTTCCTCCGTTGCACTCGCTCCTCAATCACAGTGAGTCTCAGTGACCCCTCAAGGTTAGATCCAGAGGACCTGTCTGCCCAGGAGCCTCGGACATCAACTAACTATCATCCTCCCTGGTTTGGAGAACACGTTCCCTTCGGATTCCTTGGTCCACTCCCACCGGAACTCCTCTCCAGCCTCCTGATCACAGTCAATCTCTAATTTTGGAACCTGGCCTTTTCTTCTACTACAGGGTCCCTTCTTTAAAGCCACACCCAAGTTTATCCCTTCTTGGTAGCAACTCCCACATTCCCAGCTCTCTTCCTGGGCCCCTGTAGGTAATGAGCACCTCCTGGCCGTCTCCAGCTATAGGATTTACCCTTCCAGCATTAACGAGGAGGACCAATGGGTACCTGGTACAACCTTTTCTGTTATGATGTCATTTTTTTCAAAACTATTTTTGTTATGGTTGTTGAGAATATGCACCAATTTGGCGATTTCTCCAGGCACAATTCTCACATTCTTCAAGATGTACAAATCTCCTTTTCTGAATTGTTCCTGCCCCCCATAAACTCACTGTCCCCCTAAGGTTCCTAACTTTTTGTGTTGCTGTCTTCAACTTGATCCCCTATACTCTGACCTTGTGCCAAGAAGCTGCGCTGCAAACCCGAAGGCACATGGTTCGAGGCCACCAGTTGCTCCATGGGAGAAGGTTGGACAATCTCCTCCCATGGAATTAATTGTCTCTGAAAACCCGCTGGAGGGTCAACTATGGGTCAATTCTGACTCTACAGTACACCACCACCACCACCACCACAACAACAACACGCTGTTACAGTTGTTCAATGCCGTCAAGTAGAGTGGGCCTCACAGTGACCCTGTGAACATCAGACCTGACCCCTGCCCTGTCCTGTGCCGTCCTCGCCGTCCCTGACACCCCTGAGCCCACTGCTGAACTACTCTGTCAATCCATGTCCCTGAAGGCCTTCCCCTCCTTCGCTGACCCTCCCCTCCACCTTTCTGAGCATGATGTCCCTTTTCCAGGAATGGCCTGCCTAACAACACGCCTGATGTATGAGAGACGAAGGTTTTTCCTCCGGGCCTCCAAGGAGTGCTGTGGCTACACTTTCTCCAAGACACAGCTGCTTGTAACTTTTGCAGTCCACAGGGGACAGATCTTAAAAGACCACAATGCTAAGGACAGATATTCTTTACCAGTTAAGCTAAACTATTGTTTGTTTTTAGAAGAATTCAGGGAGTATTTGTGGCCCAAAGTTTAAAGATTATCTCTGGACAACAGTTTCAGGGGTTCCTCCAGCCTCCATACTCTCATGTGACGGCAATAGTTTCTCTTTTCAGTATCAAAAGTAATCTAGTTTGGAAGGTAAGACTACTAAAACAGTCCTAGGATTTATTCCTATGGGACGGCTGATTCCCTACTGTCAGCTGACCCAAGACCTCTGGCTGTTTAAGAGAACAAGATTCCAGACACAAATGTGCTGCCAGACTGCGGAGAAGCTGGTGGCCAAAAATAGTTGGAACTTGGCTGGACATACCAAAAAGCAAGCCAAAATCAAACACCCAAAGTGATAATGGCAAAAGGAGTGTTGCATGGGGAAAGTATTATTGTCAGGGACCTCTCCAAAGTACTAAGGAGCAATGACATCAATCTGAGGACTAAGGTGCACATGCTTCAGGCTCTGGTCTTTTCAGTCACTTGCTATGCATATGAGAGCAGGGCAATGAATAAGGATGGCTGAAGAAGAATGATGCCTTTGAGCTGTGGTGCTGGAGAAGAACACTGAATATCCCTTGGACAGCCAAGAGAATGAACAGATATGTTAGTACGGTGTTCCTTGGAGGCAAGAATAGCAAAGCTTCATCTCACATACTTTGAGCACGTTGCTAGGAGGGGATATTCCTTGGAGAGGGACATCACGTTTGGAAAGGTGGAGGGTGAATGAAAGAGAGGAAGACCCCCCACTGAGATGTTGTGACACAGTGATTGCAGTAAGGGGTTTAAGTGTGTCAGAGATGATGAAGATGGCACAGGATAGAACAGGGTTCAGCTCTGTTGTTCATCTGGTTGCTATGAATCACACTTGACTCAAAGACTAGTAACAATAACATCACGTTTGCTTAGTGCTTAGCACACGACAGTCCGCACCGGCCATTTCTGCTCAAGTCCATCCTGGCTAGTGAGGTCCTGACACAGAACTTCAGCTTTAGGTAGGGGTGACCTCGGAGAGCCGAGGAAGAAAGGGGTGCAGCACAGCTGTTCTGCTCTGTCCTAAAGCAGGTGTTGGTGCCTAGGATGAGGAGAAAAGCTTCTGCTGTAATTGGGGCTTTACCCTGGTTCACTCCTGGTGGACCCTCTGCTGAGGTCGGGAGGTGGATCTGTTATTTGGCGTCCTCTAATCAACTGTGACTTACAGTGAACTCTGTACAAAAGAACGGAAGCCTGGCCAATCCTGTGCCATCCTCACAATCTCTGCTGCGATCAATCCCACTGCCGCAGCCCCTGTGCCAACCCATGTCTTCATTACTGGCCCCTTACTCTTCCAAATATATGTCCTTTCCCAGGAACTGCAAAGTACATGAGACAAAGT